GGGGAAAAAGTAATTAAAATAGTTTTTGTGTTTGTTTTAAACAACCACCAAGCCATTAGAGAGGTTTTAGGAAACCATTGTGAAGAAAGGCTGAACAACAGTAACATTTAAGAAATGGGAATTAGGCAGACTGCTTTTTTAACTTAAATAAAACAAATTCAGCTTTAAGCAGTGTAATGTGCATGGGAGCTCAACATCAATAGCAGAGGAATACACAGGTATTATGTGAAAATTTTCTACATCTTTAGTAGAAAAGGTAAGACAGGAGTATGTTTGTTTTTCAGCATTGTGATCAGTACATTCATCTCTTTAGAAGCTACTGTGCAGCTCAAGTCCTTGTGTTCTCATCTTTCTTCTCTCATTCCTTACAATGACTGATAACTGCAGTCATTGTATCACATATTTTAAATCCCTCACCTTTAGATTTTTGCTTTTAGGTTGACTGCATGAAGAAATGATCATGCTCTGAGCTGGTTTCCATCTAAGAAACTCATCTGCAAAGAATGGTGGTGTTGGAAGATTGCATGGCAGGTGGAGGAAGACATGCGTTTATATTTCCATGCAATTATAGATATAAGGGACATGTTACTAAAGCAGCTCACTGGAGAATGGGATTGGAGCACAACAAGGAGGAGGATGGTCCAGTGGATCTTCACTGAGTATCAAGAGAGAAGAAGCATCACTTGGACAGGAGAGTGTCTGGAGGTTGGGAGGGCCATCTCTCTGCTCCTTTGGTGAGAGGAAGGCACAGCACACCTGGATATGTGCATACACAACGTGGGCTCCCTTCTAATAGAGCACAACCCCCCGGCAAGAACAGCAGAACTGAGCAACTGCCTCTTTTCCATGCAAGGCCCATGTGGTTTGCAGTTGTCCTTGACAGCAGTCCTTGACTTCAGCTCTCCTAATTTGTGCTGCAAACTTCTGTCTTGGGCTGGGAACCATGGCCTTGAACCAATTCAAAGTTTCTGTCAGCAGCAGCAGCCTGCACTATCAGCCCTGGGCAGGGAGCTGGCAGGAGGCCAGGGCTGCAGTGCTTGGAGCTCTGCTCCCAATTGCAATGTCTGGAGAGAGTTCAAAGTTGGGCAACGTGTCTTTGCATCTATGAATATGAGATTTTTTGCCTTTTTTTTTCTATAGCCAAAATGTGGTTCTACATAGAAGATATTGCAAGTTTGGTCCAGAGTCCTATCTGTTGCTATAATCAATTATTACCATTGCACAAAGACCCAGGTAGGTTTATAAGGAACCATCCCCAAACCCTACTTTGATCTGTGCTTGACATCTACGTAGGAGGTACTTAGAGTGGAGCAAAAGTCAAGCACTATTTTCTTGAATGGGCCCAGCTGAACACTTGTTCCCATAGCTGTCACCAAAACTGGACACTCTCAGACGTGTCCAAGAATAGACTCCAGTTGTTGGTGTGAAATATTTTTATGTTTCTCGATAAGGATGATGCTATTACTTGGAACTGATCTTGTGAAATGGAGGAAGACACCAACCTGTCAGGCTGATCTTCTGATTCCCATTCAGATTCTAGCACTGGCGGTGTATTCAGGGGAATTAAAGACTAAATCTCCTTTCTGCTCTCTATTGAAAGTAATAAAGTCTTTGGTTTTTTTTCCTAAAGGTCCAAATGATTTTCCTTTCAGGACACTGTCAGTAAACCTAATGGAATAATCTTACAGTCCCATCTGACCTAGGTTTGTCATTATCTCTGCTTATTCAAAAGGTGGTGTGGGTTTTTTATGTTTGTTTGTTTGTTTTTGTTTTTTTGGGTTATTTGTTTTTTTTTTTGTTTTATTTTTTTGTAGCAGCTATATAATAAGCGCTGAGATTTTGCAAATGGATGTTTGTGGAAATCCCCCAATGCAATGCCTGTGTATCATCTAGCATTGCTGTACGTTGAAGAGCTGTGAATTTCACCTCTTCCATGAATTCTGCTTCTGTATCTTGCGCAAGTGATGTCAGCCTTCAAGCTCTGTCATTTAAGCAGCTTACTTAATTAAAATGCTGTTAGAGACATCACTGGAACAAGAGGGAATTATCAACGCTCTCTGATAAACTACTGCCAGGACCTCTCTATTGATTTTTCCAGCTGGGGTGATGATTTGAATCTTTTCTTTTGTCCCATGACAGTTAAAAATCAGATATCTCTGCTCAAGAATGAACTTCCCAATTTAGTGCTGTTTTTAAGAAGAAACTGTTAGGTTTTTAATTTGTTCTTACACAGTTGCATGCAAACTTGAAAACAGATTAGAAATAAACAGAAATATGAAAATAACATAAAGAAATTGGAATCTCCTAGAATCTATTGACAGAGAAATTGTTTTGAACTATAAGTCTTCCTAGCATTTGGATTTCTTTCTCTGCAAGGTTCTTAAATTCATGAATGAAATATGAACCACCCCACGATTTTCTTTTATATTAAAGCATAGTAAAAACCTTCCTTAATGTAAATCTTAGAATGAATTCTGTGCTATGCTTTGACTCAATGACTCTGTGTTAATCTGGAGAATGTGATAGGGATCTACATTTTGTAAAACTGTACAGTAAATAGCTCTCAGAAGACCTCTGCTTACAGCCTGATATATATTGCTTTTCCTTGGTTTTATCTCTTTAGCTGATTTCTTTTTCCTTATAACCCTAATCTGTTACTCTGGTGGCTTTTCTTTTATACTGAATTAAATTTGTGAGACTGTTGAGCACAGGGTGGATGGAGACCTCATGGTGAATTCCAGCTAGTGCTGCAGACACCAGGAACCCCACAGATGGTGAGATCTGCATCTGGCACCACCTGAGGGACCAAGCCTGTTTGCTTTGTGCTGGATTCCCACTGCTGTCCAGAGGATGGTGCTACTTGTCTTGGTAAGAATTTCTCTGAGTAAGAACTGCAGAAAACCTCTCCAGTACTGTGGCATTTTCTTCTCAGCATTGTCTATTTATCAAAACCAGCCAGGACCCTCATTCCCAGAAATGAGAAGTGAATCACAGCAATTATTGTCATCTGTTCTGATTGGTTAAAGATGAGTGTCACTGATTTTGGTGGGAAGTCTGCATTAGGAATAAAATTCTAACCGGAATATGACATTGTAGAGGAAATTTTAATTCAATATAATTTTGTATTCGTTTCTCACAGGCCAGAATTCTTATGAGAATGTGTTTACTTTAATATAGCAAGGGACAGCACCATCTCAGGGTAGCCTGGTCCAGATGCATCTTCTCATGGCCTCAATGTGGTCTTGAAGGCTGCACTTATAGGGTAGGATGGGGCGATGTGAAATTAGCTAATAACAAGTTGTAGAAGGTTTGGGGAAAATATTTTCTTTTGATGGGAATGTATTTATTTAACAAAAACTGGTTTTGGTAAACACTGAAGTTATAAAAGCTTTGGTAAATTGTTAAGATTCCACTTCACATTGCCTGGAGCACCTGTGTCTGAGGGACTGTTTGGCCCCTGGACATGTTTGAATGTGTTTCCCAGGGTGGTGAGCTGCAGTAGGGGAGTAGGATCATGGGGTGCCAGTGGCTCCCAGCTCCCTCCTGCCAGACTTGGAAGCCTGGTGCTTCAGCAGGGTAACTTTGGACTTCATAGCAGTCCTTAAATTCTTCAGCATTAGTTGTTCTCAGCTGGAAACCCAATGACTGCATTTTGGGTTCCTTTCTTTCACTCATATTGTTTTTCTGAAAATCCTTAGGAACAAACAAGCCATCCTGGAGCTGCAGTGAGATCAGAAGTGAACGCAGTCATTGTGTCCCCCAGCCTCTCCTCCATCCTTGCTCATTCCCTGCATGCAGTTTTCTCTTTTCCTCCAGTTTCAGGAACATATGTAAATAATTAACTTACAAATTATACAAGCTTATCACACTCTATCCCAACAGATGGAGAAACACATTAAGCTGATTTGTTCAGGCAGCCACATGCTAGACTCAGACCCAGAAAAAAACAAGGAAATGAGGAGTTACCACTCTTAATGGCATGTAACTGATATCATGGCTGCTATTGCTGCCTGTGACATTACAGCTCATTTACTGTAATCTTAACTCTGTCCCACCCAGCCCCTTCACCACACTCCTTCCCCTATCAAACAGCAGCTGTGAAAGTTTATTTCTAGTGCAGCAGGGTGATGTGGTTGCAGCATGTATCCAAACCATGTGTGACCCAGCTGGGTCACATCACCCTGGCAATTGTGGTGAGATGTGGGCAGCAGCCCAGCCTTGCACTCAGGAGCTGTTTCAGGAGCACTGAATCAAGGGCAGTGCATCATGCATGGCTAGAGATTATGGCTGGTCTGCTGGACTTCTTGGCTTGGTGAACTCATAAAAATCCTGATAATTGTGGTAGATGTGAGACAAAGGTGTTTCAATGCTGGGGAGTGCTCTAGCACTGTGGTGTGCAGAGAAAGGGTTCTATATAAAAAGTGGGTGCCACTTGGGTTACTTGTGGCAACTTGAACAGAAGAGAACAGTTGCCACAACTAGAACAGAAAAGAAATGGGTTTAATGTTTTTCAAATCAGCTTGCACAGGGTAGCTCTTGGTAGAGCAACAGATTTATTGAAGCTGTGACTTTAATGAAAGCAAGCCCATTTGCTGCCCTGTGTGACACAGGCAATGGCCAGATGAGAAGGGTATGTATGCTCTTGTACAGCATTAACATTTCTGTTAGTTTTATTTGCCTAAGGAAATCACTGGATCACTCAGGCAATCTGATCAGTCATGTGTATATTTGAAACCTCTCTCTCTTGCTTGATGGTGAATAGAAAAATAGTGTAACACTAGGAAACTGAGAAATTATTGCTTTTAACAAAAGGGTGCTATGTTGCTGGGCATCCACTTCTCTTCTGGGGAAATTCTGCCAGGGCACTTCAGCAGTTTTGTGCAGATACTCAGCAACTTCTCACTTGCTGGCTTTTGGATCTGCTGCAGAGTCATCACAGCAGATCACAGCTCAGGTGAGTGTTCCATGCCTCTTACTGTGGGCTGCATGAGCTGCTGCAACTCTGCTGCTGTGCTGAGATGGTCTAGACCACTCTTGGGCGCCCAGATACCCAGAATATAAGTAAGTGCTGAGGGGAATGTGGGCCTTGAGCCAGAGCTGAGGATCTCATACCTGACCAGCACCACTGCTCTACACTTTCATTGAGTGCTGGGATGTTTGCTTTGTGTTAAGAATGTTGCGTCTTTGTTTTGGGGGCAAAGCTGATTTTGTGAATACCTGCATTACAGAGGAAACTTCCTTTTCTTAAATGTCCTTCCATGGAATTAGCTTTTCTGCTGTCTTTTCCCTTCTGGAGTGGTCTATGTGGGTACATTTCCCTCACAAGACAGCCATGTCCTGGCAGGAGAGATGATGGGCCTCTGGAACTACTTTCTGTGGGAACATGTGTGCAGGCTGTTTTCTGACATAGGAAAGCTGCTTATCAAAGTCTTCTCTTGGCTCTATGTGTCTGCTTGTAGCTTCTGGGTGTCTTTGGGTTATTCTTGAGTTTTATTCCTAAGGGTTTTCACCCTGACCACCTGTGAGAAATACTTGTGCAGCATCTACTTCTTGTCTTTCTTACTTTACTTTGAGGGCTATATAAATCTTAGACAAGTATTGCCAGATGACTATCTGATCCCTTGATGCCAATTCACCCAGAGATTTGCTGTTTCCAGCTCCACAGCTTTTGTACTCATTTGACATACTTTCCTCCACACCTCCTTCCTGATAAGAAAGCTTTCCTTCAATGATTTCACTGCTGAAACTGTACTTTGACATCCAAGGGCCATCTGGAAGGACACTGAACTGTTCTTTGGCCCATCCTCTGGGGCTGCCATCTCCCAGCTGTCCTGTTTTCCCACCTTCATCCCAGCATGCAGCACTTCAGGTGCATCCCTGAAACCTTGCAAAATTATCTCCCTGTTCCACCAAGCTCCACCTTTGGAAATGGAAGCCTGGGGTTTCTGGCTTGCCCTTTCTATGAGTCCAACAGTACAAATGTGAGCCCACTGAGCAGCCAGGAGATTTCACAGCAGCCCCTTGGAGCCAGCCATGCCTGCACCCTGCCTGTAGAGGTAAAAGTCCTGCTGTGCCCATGCACGTGTGCTCTGTGGAGTGCAAGAGTCTTGACTGAGCTTTTAAGGGCAGGGCTGTCTTATTTCATGGAATCAGAGAACCACAGAATGGTTTGGGTTGGAATGCACCTTTAAAAGTCACCTAGTCCAGCCCCCAGCATGGACAGAGACATCTTCCACTGCACCAGGTTTGTTAACTCCATCCAAACTGGCCTCAAATGTTTCCAGGAATGGGTCATTTGCCATTCTCTGGGCAACCTCTTCCACTGTTTTTCCACCTTCATTATGAAAAACTTCTAAACTTCTTTCTTATATCTATTCTAACTTAATCTTCCTTCAGTTTGAAACCGTTGCCCCTTGTCCCATTGGAACAGGATATTGGCATTTGCTGTAATTAGTACACGAAGTGCTGGGCTGAAATGCCACTGAAATACCAGCTGTTCCTGGGCTTTTCTGCTCTGCTGCTGTCTGTCAGGGTTGTAGGGAGGTGATTCAACGTGTTGTCCCTCACTGGACCATGCTCAGCCTTCCCCCTCAGTGAGACCCACCTTTGTGGCTCACCTGTGCAGTGCCTGGGCTTTGTTTTTACTATTTATGTTACTCTGTCGTCACTCTCTGCAACTGGGACAGTGGCTTTATTGAGATATATTTCAGGCAATATTTTGAATATAAATATTTATGGGTAGAATTTTCAAATATTATCTAGGAGCACAAATCCTGCTGAATGTCAGTGTGATTCATATTCCTGCAAGAACGTTGGGAAATGCAGCGCCACACATAAATAATGACAAAAAATTGTCTGTTGCTGTGGTTAGAGTATGTGGCAGACTAATAGGAACTCCTGTAGCAACACCTTAACCTCAGCTAGGGCTAAATGCAGGGCTATATTTAGCTGGGAATAAAGTAGATTTTTGAATTCTAAATTCTGAAGTTGCAAAGTGGCATTTAGAAAAGAAAGGAAAAGAAAGTATTATTATTCCTAGCTTTTATTCAATATAAAACCCTACTGCTTCAGAGATTTTTTTTTCCAAAGCTTTCTCTTTAGTGCAAAATGCTACAACTGTTTTAAGCCTTTAAGCCCTCTTTTCAAATGATCTCATGATTGCTATTCCTAAAGGAAGAGAAACATTTGCAAATAAAAAAAGTATGAATGACAGTTACTCACAATGTCTGCATCCACAGTGAAAGAAAGAAAGAGAAAGAAGTATTTTTCCTGACTCACTGTTGAAATGGTAAAATGTCCATTAATAGGCTCATATTATAGAATTATAATTCTAACCTTTTCAAAGGGTTTCCATCATTGCAGATCTTGCAGCTGGTCCAATTACAGTATGGCCTAAACATTTGCTGTGGAATTTGATTTAATTATAAGAAGATCTTCTGTAAGGTCACTGCTGTGGTACAGAACTTATGTTCAGGCATTCACTTTAACTACAGTTTTGGTTTTTATGCTGGGCCTGACTGTTCTTCACGTGTTTTGTGGATGCTGTCCTGTGCTGTATTAGGGTTAGATCACTCATTGCTTAGAGATACTGAGTCTGGGATCTAGTGTTATCTCTGGGACAGCTCCATGCTCACATTTTTGGTGTGTTTTTGTTCCCCCAGTGGGTGAGACCTCCTCTATCTGGTCATAAAATGGAGATGGGAGTAGTGTGTTGTACAGGTTTCATGTGTGCAGTAAGACTCAGCTAGAGGTCACATTCCAGGTGCTCCTCCCTCCTGCACTGTGTCCCCATTGCAGATGCTTGGCGGCTCTCAGTCACTGGCAGAGCCTCATGTGGTGGGGCCATGATGTTGGACAGAAGCCAGAGCACTGTACAGTTCATGCATGAGGTGAGGATGTGTCAGAAGTGATGCCTGGGGGGTGAGAATTTGGCTGAACTCTGCTTTGACTCTTCCCCCTGTCCTGTATCTCATTTGCAAAATTACCCGCTCCCCTGCTAATATTGATTTTGAAAATTCTAGACCCTAATGAATTTTAGATTCCCTAGATTCCTTTCGATTCAACCTAGATTCTAGACCCTAATGAACACTTTCTGTCAGATTCACTCCACAGCACTCCTACAAGATTTTACCTCATTTCAGTTGCCTTTCTCTTTGTAGGGGCTTCCCATGACAGTATTGGTTATTTGGTCCAATCTAGAATAATTCTTTCCAAAAAGCATTAGAAGTGCACCAAAAATGCAGGAAGTGGAATACAAATTGTGGCAGAAAAGCTAAGTTTTTTCCTCTTTTCTTTCCCCTATCATTACAAAATTTGATCATGTCAGGAGCAGAAAAGTCAGGATTGCTGGTGTGTCAATATAGCACAGGTGTTCTAGAGGCAGGAGAAGGGAAAGCAGGATGGGAAAAGGGATCCAGAGGACATGAATGCTGCTAAGGGAGGGAAGGGACATGCTGGAGTGCATTGTCTTTGTGTGATGTCCCCTCAGTCCTGTGCTCTGGCAGTGCTGATGGGGGATACAAACATCTCCCTTTGTGTCTCAGCTACTCTCCCCCTCCCTGGCAGAACATCCCTGTGGAAGCCATATCATCCCACTATCATTGAGCACTTTCTGTACATTTAGGTGTAACATTACTTCTTGCCAGTTTAGGACAGTTCTCTACAGTGTATTCCCCCCTTGTTCCTGAGAAACATGATACCTTGTTTTAACTGTTTCACTCAATTTGCCTTGTAGGACTTTTCTCAGGAGAGTATTCCAGTCTTTCTGTAAAGAAAACAGAATTAAAATTTCTTCTTCTCTAGTCAGCAAAATATTTCCTTCACTAAGCTGGGCAACAGTGCTGTAGGGGTGGGCCTGTATTAGCTTGGGAAATGAAGGAGGGATAAAGACATGAGATCTAAAAACAGCATGAAGAAATAGATACTGATAACTGGCTGGACATCTAAGACTCTGTTGGAGCATTTAACTTTTGTTTCTTGCATCCTTTTCATAGCAGTAGGAAGGAGGACAATGATTTTCAATTATTAAAAGAGAATTTAAAGTCTACTGATGTTCTTTTCTAATGATGAAGAACTCTGATGTATGAGGGTAAAATGGGAAATGGGTTAAGATTCAGGGCTTGCAGTTTTGAAGGTACCTAAAGAACTGCATTGCTGAGCTTTCCCTAAAGCTGCAGAGGAGTGGCAAAATACATAAGCTCTTTTTCAAAATTCTCTGTTTAAAGAGCATACTAAAGCAGAGGTCAAAAGCAGAAGACAGAAAGAGTGGCACAGATATCCATGTAGTGATTAGTTCTAAGGTTGGCAGAAGTAATAACCAATTATTTGTTCTGCAGCTTTGTCTCTGACCTGCATGTTTATGCCAGGCCCCCACTGGGCAAACACTCAGGGAAAATAAAGTCTCAAGGATCTTGCTTAAATGTTTTATTCATTGCATTAATTTTTGCCTGAAGAGCTGTTTTCCTTTGGGGATGAAGGCCTTAAGATATGGTTCAAAGGAGTGTGTGTAATTTAGCCAAGAAGCTGTCCCGGAAATTAATGAGAGTTGGACTAAACCCTTTGTACCATTTGGGCATCAGTTACTGACACTCAGATAGGTTTGCCCCGCAGTAAAACCCTTTTCCTTCCTAGTGATTGAATTGTTCTTTAGGGTTTACCCTACAGGGTAAACATACCCCACAGTGCTGTTCAGTACTGCATGTATACAACAGGCAGCAGAAAGAACCCAGCAGCTTCAAGAGCTGTGAAAAACGATGGCCTTTGATATAAAATGAATCTGTGAGCAGAGCTTGGGTCATGGATGCTGGTCCAGTCCTTTGAGATTGAATACACCAGCTCAGAGGCTTAGATTTCAGAGCAGTGCTATGAGTTAATTTCTATAGGACTGGGAACTGCTGCCGTTTCTATTCAGGCAGCAGAGAAATCTTCAGAAATGTTTAAAAGATCAACCAGGAAAATGGCTGCTGGAAAACCATGTCTGGATTTAAATTCCCAGTGATGCTGTTGCTTCA